CCCCCCCCCCGCCCCTTCCAAGTGTACAGTTTCTCCGACCCTGTGACTGAGAAGAAGTAAAAAAAAAGTGACAGTGGTGAGTTGAAGTAATATAGGAAGACACAATTATATTATTAACTCCATTCCATGTAATACTAAGGAAAAATGCTGCCAATTAAATGGCCAAAATGCCATTTTTATTTTATACTTATTCAAGAGTTCTTCTATTGTGTCTATATTTATACATCTAAAGGCAAATTAACCAAATAAAGTGGTTACGGTAGTTCTAAAACTTCTTCACATTCAGAATCCAATGCTTCTAAATCACTCCATTCAGTTGTTAATGCCTGTATTTTTCTACGTAATAATGTCCTTTGTGCCATCAAGCCAGTTAGTGAGTGACCTACCATTTCTTTAAAAAATGCTCCAGTCTGGCCTGCAAGGCTCAGTGGTTGAGCATCGACCTATGAACCAGAAGGTTGTGGTTCGATTCCCAGTCCGGGCACATGCCCAGGTTGCAGCTCGATCCCCAGTGGGGGGCGTGCAGGAGGCAGCCGATCAATGACGACCCTCATCATTGATGTTTCAACTCTCTCCGTCTGCCTTCCTCTGCCTAAAAATCAATGTCTCAGCAGAGACTTTTAAGAAAAAGAAGTGAAGAAAGTGAAATGGTTACAAAGAACTCATCCTAGAAGGCACACAGAGTGCTCTCAATTTTAGTATAAATGAATCTTGCCCGGCCGGGCGTGGCTCAGCGGTTGAGCGTCAACCTGGGATCCAGGCAATCAGGGTTCGATTCCCAGTCAGGGCACATGCCCGGGTTGCGGGCTCGATCAATGACTCTCTCATCATTGATGTTTCTGTCTCTCTCTCTCCCTCTCCTTTCCTCTCTCTGAAATCAATAAAGATGTATTAAAAAACAAAAAAAGAATCTTAATGGATTAAATTTACGTCTTCCAAAATTACTGTGAACTACAAGAAAATTAACTTTTCACCTACTATATTAATTTATGAAAAACTGACTGTATCTTCATAACACATTAGGATATTTCCTTCTCAGTATAAGGAAGGATGTAACAGCAAAATAATACATAGGAAGAAAGAAAAAAAATGCCATGGTCCTTAAATGAACTACTTTAAAAGAGCAGTGGTAGAATTCTGATCTAATCTGAAAGATTCTGCAGTAATTATTAATAAAAACAGTCAAAAGATAACCTTCACAAGGAAGAAACTGTCTTGAAATTTATTTTAAAAATCAATTTTTTTTTACAGTTGACATACAATATTATATTAGTTTCAGGTGTACAACACAGTGATTAGACATTTATATAACTTACAAAGTGATCCCCCTAATAAGTCTAGTACCCCTCTGAAACAAAACAAAAACCATTTTTTTTATGTATACATACATGAAAAATCCAGGGGTCACCAATTATGACTGGAAAAAAAATCTCACAAATGCCATTAAAAATAACAAATAGTACACATAAAAAGATGAAAACTTTGTGTAATGGAATATAATCATGTTCTCCTAAGATTCCTTCATTTCTAGTACACCAAGAGTAAATATAGTGTTAGGGTCACAAACTCTTTCATAAAGAAATAAACTGTCAAAAATATGTATTTTAGTGTTATTGAATGTACAGCACAGTCCTCCACTCACATGGCACAGACATCCCCAACTGAGCTCTGGAAAAATCTTAAAGCATATATTTTTATTTTTAAAATGTGTGTGTGCAGTTCAAAACGTATCAGTATGAATTGGTTTTATTTGTAAACTGAAAAAGCCAGCCATAGTACATGGTTTTAATGGAAATAAAGGAGGATTCAGGAAAGATGACTCCAAACACACAAATGCACATGTTCCATATAACCCTATGAAAGATGCACAGCTTCTGAAACCTGCTGCAATGTGAAAGAGTACAGCCTTTCAAATGGAATTCTTCTTTGATGCTTTTATTAAAAAAGCTTATACTGATGCCTACAACAGAACAAAATCTGAGAGATGAATGTTTTCAACTATTAAAGTACCAGTTATGATTAAAATACTGTATATTTTATTAGAGGAACTTGAAATAGGATTTCTACATACCACATCATCTTTGCTTTCATCCTTAAATGAAGTTTCTGTCTCCATAGGACCATCACTGTGATCCCCCTCTATATTTTGCTTCTCAATTACTGATGCACTAGCCACACTGAAGATTCCATGGATGTTAATGCGAACTTTAACCTTCACTTTGGAACTATCACCATCAGACTGTGGAAAAACATTCTGAATAGTGAAGCTCCCTTAAAGAAAAGAGAGTTCTGATCAGTATATGGGCCTCAGATTAACTCATTCAATTCATTAAATTCAATAATTTGACTATCATTTTTCCAGTGCTGGCAAGTAACTGTAAAGTTATTACCACAACTAGATTAATTACTGTGGGAGAGGTCTTTTCCCCAGATCACCATTTTCATACCTTAATAAACTTGGTATTAAGTCTCAGAAAGGTTAAGCAACCTGCCCAAAATCATCAATGCTAGAAAAAAGGAGACCTGGGATTTTAACCAAGGACAATCTGACTCAAGGCAATATAACTTTTAAGTATGTTTTAGAATATTGCTGCTCTAAAACCAAAATTAAATTCAATTTCTGAGTTTGAAACCAAATATAAAGTTATCCCTTTCTGTTGCAAGCTTTGAAAATCAAAATCATCTTGGTAATTCATAAATAAAATTATTTAAAATGTTTCTGGATTTTTCCTATAGCAAAATGGCTGTTGGCCGTTTTGCTATAATACCTACAGTCACTAATACCTACAGAGGTCATATTAATTTTCCACTTTAAGAAATCTACTAATGTTGCCCTGGCTGGGCGGCTCAGTTGGTTGGAGCATCGTCCTGTACACCAAAACGTTGCAGGTTTGATCCCCTGCGGGGAGGCAATTGATGTTTCTCACATCAATGTTTCTCTCTCTTTCTCTCCCTATCTCTCCCTCTCGCTCTAAAATCAGTAAGATCACATATCCTCATGTGAGAATTAAAAAAAAAAAAAATCTACTAGTGTTTTATTAAAAAAAAATCTCAAATATATAATGATATCCATTATATATATAGAAAGAGAATACTAGGCAGAAAAACTGAGTAGTAAACAATCTGGTTGGCCTATGTCGTGGGTTGAAATAAAAAAAAAAAAAAAAAAAAAAAAGATTCTGTAATTGGCCTGGAAGGTTTGGGTAAGGATTATTTTTTATGGAAAAACTCTAATCAGTAAACTGAAATTGTGATGTCAGACACCCTGCCCCCCCACACTCATATAAAGTCCTATTGTCCAGTACCTCAGAAGGTGACCTGATTTAAAGATAAGGTCTCTACAGAGGTTAATCAAGTTAAAATTAGGTTGTCAGGCTGGGCTCTAATTCAATGACATGTATGTGGAGACAGAGACACATACAGAGAGAGTGTTATATGAACATGAAGATGACCATCTATAAGCCAAGGAGAGAAGCCTAGAATGGATCCTTCCCTCACAGTCCTCAGAAAGCAATCTTGCTAGCTCCTTGATTTCAGACTTCTAGCACCCAGAACTGAGACAAATTTCTATTGTTTAAGCCATTCAGTTTGTGGTACATTGTTACAGAAACCCTAGCAAACTAATACCACCTTCAATAATTTGTATCTACTGATTTAAATAATGTACTTGAAATATTTATATCACCCCCTTTCTAGTCTATCAATAAAATCAGTACATAGAGAATTTTAAAACTTAAAATTATTCCTTCTCTCCCAGCTGGTGTGGTTCAGTGGTTGAGCATCAACCTATGGATCTGGAGATGAGGTTCGATTCCCAGTCAGGGCACATGCCCAGTGGGCAGTGAGCAGGAGGCAGCCGGTTGATGATTCTCTCTTATCATTGATGTTTCTATCTCTCTCTCCCTCTTCCTTCCTCTCTCTGAAATCAAAAACACATATTTTTTAAAAAATTATTCTGTCTCTTTTAAATGATATAAAATCATGACTGCTTTTTATCTTCTAGGAAGATTACTCAACTAAAATGGATACAACAGTCTCCTATTCTAACTTGCGTATTAATGCAATGATACTCATTCTACTTGTTGCCAAGGACCATAAGTTTAAAATAAAAAAATATAGTAAGTCTGACAGCACAATTTCAATTTACTGATTAGAGTTTTCCATAAAAAAAAATCCTTACGCAAACCTTTCAGGCCAATTACAGAATATTTTTTTTTTTAATCCTCACTACAGGATATTTTTTCCATTGCTTTTTAGAGAATGGAAAGGAGAGAGAGAGAAACATTGATGTGAGATAGATACATCAGTTGGTTGCCTTCCGCACGCACCCTGACCAGGGCCAGGGATTGAGCCTGCAACCAAGGTATGTGCCATTGACCAGAATTGAACACAGGAACATTCGCAGGCCAAAGCTCTAACCACTGAACCAAACTGGTTAGGGTGAATTACAGAGTACTTTAAATATAGATGTCAAAATAAATTAAAAATACTCAAACCTGCCCAGCAAGGCATGGCTCAGCGGTTGAGCATCAACCTAGGATCCTAGAAGGTTCGATTCCTGGTCAGGGCATATGTCCAGGTTGCAGGCTTGATCCCCAGTCAAGGGCATGCAGGAGGCAGCTGATCAATGATGACTCTCTCATCACTGATGTTTCAACTCTCTCTCCCCCCTTCCCTTCCTCTCTCTGAAATCAATAAAGATATTTTTTTTTAAAAAAAACACTCAAACCTGCTGTTATTCCAGAAGTAAACTGAGCACTAAGAAGTGCATATCTAGAAAAAGGTATGGAATATCTCTTTTAAAATCCAGTGCTAGCTTAGCTTAAATATCAATTTATTTGTTTCCTTAATTCAAATATTAACATATTACTTATAAAAGTAAAATATTTATGAAAATTTTTTTCTTGAGTTCTCTTACCAATTCTTGGATCGGGATAAGGCACTTCATGTAAATTAGTATAAAACGCCTCTAGTTCAAATGGTTCCTTCTTGTGGAAAGTAATGACTTTTGAGAATGGGGCCGGATGGTTCTTAGAGAATACTTCACATTCCCTAAAATGGAGTGAGAAAACACTCAGTTCAAAACAAATAGAAAGTTGCTTATGAAAGTAATTACAGAATCCATCTCATTTTTAATTCATAAGCTAAGCAGGAATTATAAAGACTTCTCTCTATGCACAAATGTACAGAAAAAGAGATTGGTTGTACTATAAACCTGTATTTTCACAGGTTTATGGCTCAAAGTTTTTAGAATGTCTGTCATCATAAAATAATTCTACTAAAAAGAGAAAAATTACCTGAGAATAGATATGTCTTAAGTCCAATACATAGGGGTTTTTTTTGCTTACATCTGAGGATGAAATCCTATCCATTAGTTTCCAAAATACTTGTCATATGTAACCTTTTTTATTCTAGCTTCTTTAAAAAGGAACTTTTATTTGGAAATAATTTAAAACTTACAGAATTTTGCAAAAATAAATACAGGACATGTAACACCTGTATATATCTTTTACCTAGATTTGCTACTGTTAACATTTTACCCCATTTGTTTCATCATTTGAGTGTACACACACAGTCTGTGTGTATATTTTTTTTCTGAAACAATCCAGAGTGTTACATACATTTATGGCCATTAACCCCTAAATACTTCAATGTGTATTTCCTAGTAGAGATATTCTCTAATATAACCATAGGACAATTGTCAACTTTATAAATTTACATTGACACTTTAACGTATAATCCATATTTCAATTTTTTAAGTTGATACAGTAATGTCATTTGTAGTATTTTCTTCTCTCCAGTACAGGAAATTTTAAAACCTACAAAGCAATTTCTATTCCTTAGTATAAAAGGTTTATAACTATTGTTTATAGTGTCCCAGTGTCATTCTTCAATACATAGCATCATCCTATTAATTAGGCAAGGTTTAAACTTTCACATTCATGGACTTTTCCTCTATCCTAATATTCAAGAACCTACCACCACCACTACCTTCTATTTTCTTACTGTAGTCACTACAATATACTTTTCAATTTAACTCCCCATATGTTTTCTTGTAATTTTTTTCAAGATCACTTACACTTTTAACTGAAATTAGCTTAAAAGAATATTTCTTGCCTCAAAATTGACACAAAACACATGCCATTTAAGTGCTCTGCAGAACATTGAGATCAGATTGATAATTCATATTTTTTACTTTTTAAAAACTGATTTTTAAAATCTTTATTTTTTTTTTTAGAGGGAGAAGAAGACAGAGGGAGAAAGAGAAACATTGATATGAGAGAAACATCACTCCGTTGCCTCCTGCAGGCACCCGGACCACTGAACCTGCAACCTGGGCATGTATCCTGACCGGGAATTGAACTGGCAACCTTCTGGTGTGAGGGACGACACTCAACCAACTGAGCCACACCAGCCAGGGCAATCATCCATATTTTTGAAATCTGTGCAAACATTTCAATTTCTTGGGGGTGTGGATGTATAGTATAGTACACAGAACAAAAATTTAAAAGCAAATTCAAAACCTAAACACAGGTTTACTTTATTGTATAAGCTACACTTTGAAAAAATAGTTAAATATAATACTTGAAACACAAATAGTTCTTGTAGGGAAGCAATCTATTTAAATCCTGGTTAGTCCACAGAAAAGAAAACATATTTGTCAATACAAGTATGAAAAGACTGTAGCTGACAATAGTTAGAAATACAAATTTAATGACAAAGTACTTTATTTTTACTATTAGAATGTTAAACTTAAAAGTATAGGAGAAAATGAGCTAAAACAGGTAATCTAATCCACTGTTAATAGAAATATAAATTGATAAATCTTTTTTAGTGAATAATTTGACAGTATTAGTTAAAATAATGTCTTACTCTTTGGCTTAATTTCAGTCCTACACAGTTATCTTACAGATATACCAAACTTAACTAAACAAGGAGATGTTACAAGGATGTTCCTAAAAGCACTGCTCAAATCAGAAAGAATAAAACTTTAAGTGTATTGGTTAAATTATGGCACATATAACTGCTGAAAAAACAGTTATTGTCAGTTGGCATAGAAAGGTAATATAGAACATATTTTAAAAAGCAAGTTGCACTGGAGATATACAGATGATCAATGTATGCATTAAAAAAGTGTATGCTTGCCCTGGTTGGCATAGCTCAATTGGTTGAGCTGTTTGGTCCTGTGCACCAAAAGACTGCCAGTTGATTCCCAATCAGGGCACATGCCCAGGGTTTCAGGCTTGATCCCCAGTAGGGGATATGCAGGAGGAGGCAGCTGATTGATGGTTTGCTCTCACATCGATGTTTCTCTCTTTCTCTCCCTTCTCCCTTCCTCTCTCTGGAAATAAATAAATAAATAAAATTATATTTAAAAAAAACCAAAAACTTACCCAGACCCAGTTCCATCCTCAAAAGAGGTCTTCCACCTTAATGTGATTGAATAGGGAACAATGTCCGTTATGGAAAACTCACGCACTTTAAATGCTGGTGAGAGAATTGCACACTGCAAATAAGATGTACACCATATTTAAATCAACAAACAACAAACAGAACACACCCTAGGTTACCCTTGATTAAACTGCCTAATAAAGTACTTGCAATAAAACTGTTACATTTTAAAAATTACTGTTTAATGGTGAAACTAGTTAAAATTTAAAAGTGTCAGAGTATTCTTTTTGTGACCTTACAAAAATTAATATAAAATATTTTAAAATCTCAAAAAAGAGTTTTAAATGGGATTATGCAGATTCATAAAATAAATGTTCTTTTAGTAGAGTTATAGACATATTGTCTTATGATAGTTTAAAAATATAAATAGGAAAGACACAAGACTTACTTTTCAGGAATAATTTCAATTTACTTTTAGCCTATTGACAAGTGGTTAGAACAGGTAATATTTAAACTCCTTTTAGGCCTATCACCATATTTCTGGAAAAATATATATTCTAAAACAAAATAATCATCATACCTGTAATGCACATCCTCTTGCAACAGCTTCATCAGCATTTAATGTGGTACTTATGTCTTTAAGAAAGAATTTAGTGATTTGTTCCTTCACTGCAGGAATTCGAGTTGCTCCCCCTACAATTTCTATACTACTTATGTCTTCACGTTGTAAGTCTGGAAAGCAAAATATTTTTAATTGAGAAAAGTAAGGAAATCTTTATAACAATGTGAAAAGCAGACCTTGGAAAATATTTTATTAACGAGTGGATTTTTTCATTTCCTCAAAACAAGAATAAAAGGAAAGAAGATAGGCAAATAAAAGGCAAAACTTAAACACTAATTATCTATGTGTCAGGCACTGTACTTGGTGATGGAGTGACAATAAAAATAAGCACCTCATGGGATTTATTATTTTTTTAAAAAGTATGTTTTTATTGATTTCAGAGAGAGGAAGGGAAAAGAAGAGAGAGATAGAAACATCAATGATGAGCGAGTCATTGATCGGCTGCCTCCAGCATGCCCCTTACTGGGGATCGAGCCCACAACCTAGGCATGTGCTCTGACCAGGAATCAAACCGCGATCACCTAGATCCTAGCTCAATGCTCAACCGCTGAGCCCCGCCGGCCAGGCCAGAAGGTACTTTTAATTATTACCAAAAACTTTAACAAAAAGCAAGATGTCCCCATTTCTACTTAGAATCTTCTAAACACCTCAGTTTTTACTAGCATTAGTTTTATGATATAAACAATAAAATGAACCAGGAGAAGTCTGCAAAAATCCATTTCTACTGCCCTACTTTTATGAATAAAGAATGAGTTATAATCTCCTCCTCTAAAATAAGAAATATAAAGCTTCAAAAAACAGATGAAATTTTATACTTTTACCATTTCCTACACCAGTGATTTTCAACCTTTGTCATCTCATGGCACACATAAACTAATTACTAAAATTTTGTGGCACACCAAAAATATATGTATTTTGCTGACCTGACAAAAATTAGGTATAATTTTGATTCATTCACACTGGATGGCTATTGTTGTGTTGGCTGTTGTCATTTTTTAATTTGACAATCTAAAGCAGAAAAAAGTCAGTGCCCCTGACTAGTCAAGTATTGCATGTTTTAAAAAACCTGGCAGCACACCGTTTGAAAATCACTGTCCTATACCATTCATGTGAGTTTTGATGGTTAGTCCAATAATCTCCACTTACTTGATTGTTCCATTACTGCTTTTAATGGTGGTTCAACTCGGGCAAAGAGGGAAACACATAATTGTTCAAATTGAGCCCTGTGGAAAAATGAAATGAAATTCACTATTTTGAGACCTAAAAATCTAGCATATCTTCTAAAATAACAGAATCTTAACATTATAAAATAAGCAAATACTTTCTCATCTGAAAACATAGATGGTACCTGTTCATTTTACTAGAAACATCAAGGTCATTCATGAAACACTCAATGTTCAGTGGAAGATCTGATGCATTTGCACTCATTAGCTTCTTTAGTTTTTCACATTCCTGATATAAACGCAACAAGGCCCGAGAGTTTTCTTTCACATTTATCTTATACTTAGTCTTGAACTCATCACAGAAGTAGTCTACTAAAGCCTCATCAAAGTTCCTGCCACCCAAATATGGATCAAAGGTAGTAGCCAAGACCTGTTTAATTGAAAAACCAGAAATGAATTTTCAGAAATATAGATGCTTTCAAACAAACAAAAATCTTTTAAAATTAAAATCAAAGCCAAAAAACTTGTCAAAAATCACAGGGGTACCAAGTTTGAAATAACTTATATAATTATGATTTATATTTAGCCAACATATTTACTCACTCTGAATTATCTGCTTTAGGTTATAGATCAAGATATCGTACTTTAAGAATAATTATAATTCTGAAATAACTGAGTTACAGCTACTAAAACTACCATTTCACATCCTTTGATTCTACAACAGCACTGAACAGGTAGGCCAGGCCAAAAACCAAGTTTATCAGAACAAAGAAACAGTCATAAGCATATAGTCAAAAACAAAGCAGCCAAGGAAAGCTGATACAAAGACCAAATGGAGGGGGAGAGATTAACCAAAGAATTTTTATGCATATATGCACAACCCAAGGACAGGGACAATGGTAGGGAGAGGACTAGAGAGGGAGGTGGGATGGGGTGGAAGGGGTCATTGGGGAGAAAAAGGGACATCTGTAATATTTTGAACAAAAATAAAAAATAAAATAATTAAAAAAAAGAACTTATATGCATGTATGCATAACCCATGGACATAGACAATAGTGTGGTAAAGGCTTGGGGCAGGTGAAGGGAGAGTGTGGGGTAGAAGGGGTCAATGGGGAAAAAAGAAGACATCTATAATACTTTCAAAAATAAAGATAAATTTTTAAAAATTAAAAAAATAATAAAGTAAAATACTATAATTGATCGATTTATAGATCAGGAATTAGGCCTTCAATTATTTAAAAACCCCACTAAGCTATTTTTATAAAAATACAGAAGAAACAAAAGAATATAGGAGAGACAAAACAAGAAAACAGAAAAGTGTGAAGAAGAGAGACAAGAATTTGACATGGTTAAGCAAGCTGAGCAATAAGCCCCAGCTACCAATCAGATGGAACAGGAATAGACAAGTCACAGAACTTCAACATCAGAGCTCTTAAGTCATAGGACCAAAACAGCTAGTCTCTCTCCCCAGGGTAAAGGGCAGAAATGACTATTTACATAATGACTACTAAAAGACAGAATCCCACTGTTTGTGTTTATGTCAGCTTTTTTTTTCACAAGGATGGGTGGTGAAATAGTGGTAAGCACGTGAGCATAATCTGATTGGGATGTCCTCCCACAGACTAGCACAGGGAATCCATGTATGGACTTCTCACAAGGTCCAGTATTACCCAAAATTAAATGCAAAATTGTACTGGTATGTGACTTGTGCAAATGTGCATCCTTCTGGAGAGAAGGCAACAGCTTTTATGAAACTTTCAAAGGGGTCTATAGTATAAAAATTATAGATTACTACTCTAAGGTATCTACTAAAAAGGAAGGGAAATTTTCTTTTAATTTTCCTTAAATTAAAATTCAAGACTAACTACCAAAGATTAAATCAATTTACAGAAAACTACCCTACATTCAGTGTGAGTCATCTCCATTTAATTTTCTGATTACAAGGATGATGTTATAGTAATATAAGCTGTAAGGCAAAAGGCTCTAAAAGGAGTTGGATAACCCAAAACATTTCATCTTCTGTGTCAATCCTACATGTGTGTAATGGAGAGACAGAATGTGTAAGTCTGGATAAGATAATAAATATAAAACCGAATACAGACTATAAGAAGATAAGCACATAGAAGTAAATAATGCTATATTGTAGAACATTTTGTCAGGAGTCCTAGATACAAAGGTTTCTAAAAACAATGAAATCATTTTAGAAAATGTTTCCTAAGTATGTTTATACATAAATATGTAAATTTATGGCCCCTGATAGCTGATGTAACACCTCAACAATGCAAATAGCTAACACATATTATAGTATCTACTATATGGCATTCCAAACATTTTATATATGTTAACTCATTTTGTCTTCAAAAACTCTATGAGATAGTTACTGATATTATCCTCAGGTGAGAAACCAAAGGTGTAGGGACGTTAGGTAACTTGCTTAAGGTCACAGTTTTTATGTGGCAGAGCCAAGATTTAAACCCAGAAATTAAGGTTCTGTATATAGTCTTAGATGCTCTAAACCATTAAGTAAAATATTGCAAATCACTTCTTTACTTACTTTAAGTTTTCCTTTGTTAAAAGCACAAATTGAGACTTGGTAGGCAGAATGTCCCATATCAATAAAGACTACATTTCTCGGTTTCTCATCTAATGGGGGAAGATCCTGTTTATAAATTCCATATGCTAGTGCAACTGTGTAAGAACAAAGAATTAGGTTATTTCCGGCATAGCAATCATGTGGAAAATACACAAATCACTTTGATACTACACACTTTAATACAGAGTATAGTAATGCAAATTATTAATTTCAAACTAACTTAACTTTTCATCGAGTATAGTAATGCAAATTATTAATTTCAAACTAACTTAACTTTTCATTATTTGCTTAATGTTTTTAATTTTTTTCTTTACCCATCTATAACTCTATAATATTAATGATTCTTATAGCCAATGTAAAACATGCCAAAATGTTTTACTCCAAAATGACAAGCTTACAAGAACCAGTACATAACAGTTTAAAAAAAAATCACAACAGCATTTTTTTTTACAGTGATTTCAAATAGCAAAGTGCTGACCTGCAGTAGTTTCATTCATCAATCTCAAACAATTTAAACCTGCGACCTGGGCTGCAGCCATCACAGATCTTCTCTCAGCATCAGTGAAAAAGCTAGGAATCTGGTATTTAAAAACAGTAATTAAGCATATTAATTTGATGTAATATATTTTACTTAAACATTTCATCAGATGAAAAATGTAAAATAATTGCACTGAAACTGGTGTACAGCTTAAGGCAAACAATGGTGTTCTAATTAAATAAATGAGAAATATACTTTTTTCTTTTTTTTAACTTTGGCTATTCTATACCATAAAATGTTGACCTATAAAATGTTGACCTAAAGTACAAAACAAATTTAAATCAATTAATAAGACAAAATAATAGTGCAGGATTTCCAAAATATTAGTCTAAATCCTTCTTATGTTGGTCTGGCCTATGAAAAACATCTCTCTTCATCTTTAATAATGAAAAATTAAAAACCAGAGAGTCTATTAAAATGAGATTAAGTATATTATGGTTTATCCATATAATGAAATCCTATGTAGCTGTTAATAGCTGTTAGAAAGAATCATGTAGATATGAATTGTCACAGAATAGCATCTTTAATACTTTTGGGAAAAAAAGCATGTATAACGTGATTTTCTTTTTGTGTATATATGCTACCAGAAGAATATAAATGCAAATGTTGTATTTCAAAGGCAGGGGGGAATGAGATTGCAGGGGACTTATGATAAGCATGTTTCTTTTAAGATCACCAAAAAACATTAAATAAATTCCTATTAAAAAATAAAGCTCAGGCTTAAATTTACAATTAAGATTTACATATACTTGGTTTTATCAAAATAAGCAGCACTATGATTTGGTCTACAAACAGATTTCTAAAAAAGCTAATTAAATATATTCATGTACAAAATCACTTAGGGCTCTTCCAATTTTAAGTTTTAGGTAACCAGACTCCTCCAATTTTACTGTTTTTTTAATTTAGAAATTTCATTGAATAGATATTAAAAACCGGAAAAGAACTTGAATTTTGATAAGCTTGTTTAATCCTGATTTTGGTATTATCCTCTGACAAAAATTAAATTATATAGTTTGTTTAATATTCATTAAGCACTTATGTATCAGGTACTTTTGTAGCCACTAGGAATATAGTACTGCATAAAACAGAGAAAATACTTTCCCCTGTATAGCACTAACTACAAAGTTAATACTGGCCAAGAAGTTCATAATGCTCTATTTTGGCACTAATTTCTGACATGAAAGTAAAACCAAGTATAAATATATAGGGATAGATTTGAATTTAAGAAAGATTTTAGTATTTGCACCACTCTGACATATATTTTTTCTTTTCTTTTTTTAATCCTCAACCCAGGATTTTTTTCCGTTGCTTTTCAGAGAGTGGAAAGGAGAGAGAAAGAGAAAAACATCGACATGAGAGAAACTCATCAAATGATTGCCTCCCGCACACACCCTGACCAGGGCTGGGGATCAAGCCTGCAACTGAGGTTATATGCCCTTGGCTGGAATTGAACCTAGGACCCTTCGGTCCGTGGGCCAATGCTCTAACTACTGAGCCAAATGGGCCAGGGCTGACATATATTTTCAAGTGGCAGAATGATGGGAGAGTTATGAGCACAGACCTGGGAATGAACTATCAGGGTTTGAGTTAGGGCTTTACCACTTATTAGCTGTGTTGATTTGGGACAAGTTATGCAATTTTCTCTGTGCCTCAGTTTTTTAATCTCTAAAATTGGGGTCAATAATATCCTATCTCGTAGAGTGGTTTGGAGGATCAATAGGTCAATATATATTAAATGTCTATGATAGTCCCCGGCCAATGGTAAACTATTAGATACTATTACCAAATGGCTGGAAAACAAAATACTAAGCTCTAATATTTCTCTCCCACTTAAAAGTTCCAAATACCTATAAAAAACCTAATTACTAAATTCAGTGTTCATATTTGATTGTATTTTTTGATAACATAAGACTCTTGAATTTACATAGTCAGGTTTAATAGTATTAGAAATATATTCATGTTTAGGTGACAATATATAACTTAAGAACTAGTTGTTAATATATAATGGGATCTCAAGAGATAAGATAGGGTAAATAATTTTGTTAAGAATCCTTAAAGAAATACCTTTTCTTACTGAAAAATACTGCATAATATCACTTATATGTAGAATCTACAAAAGCTGAATTCATAGAATAGAGAGTAGAATGGTGGTTACCAGGGGCAGGGAGGTGGGGAAATGGGGAAATATTGGCCAAAGAGTATAAAGTTATATAGGATGAATAAATTCTAGAAACCTAATGTATAGCATGAAGTCTATAGTTAATAATAATGTATCCTGGAAATTTTGTAAGACTGTATCAGGTGCTCTCATGACAAAACATAAATTAGAAAAAAAAAAAGGTAACTATATGAGGAGATGGATATGGTCATTAACTTGACTGCACTAATCATTTCACTATGTACATGTATATCAAAGCATCATGTTATATACCTTATATAACCAACAATTTTTATTTTTAAACAGGCACAAGGGGCCCAGCCAGCGCAGCTCAGTGGCTGAGCATCAACCTATGATCCAGGAGATAGGGTTTTGATTCCTGGTCAGGGCACATGCCTGGGTTTCGGGCTCGATCCCCAGTAGGGGCCATGCAGGAAGCAGCCGATCAATGATTCTCATCATTGATGTTTCTCTCTCTCTCTTCCTCTCTTTTCCTCTCTCTGAAATCAATAAAGACATATTTTTTTAAATTAATAAAAAAAAGGCACAAGGGAATTTTGGGTGGTGATGAATATGTTTATTACATTCATAGTGATGATGGTTTTGTGGGTGTAAGCATATGTCAAAACTTCTGAAAGTATACATGTTAAATATATCCAATTTATAATTTTTTTAACTTACCTTTATTGTTGAAAGTATTACAGATGTCTCCTTTTTCCCCAATGACCTCTTCTACCCTGCCCCCAACCCCTGCCCCAGGCCTTCACCACACAATTGTGTCTGTGTCCATGGGTTATGTATTTATGCATATAAATCTCTTCCCACCCACCCACCTACCCCTAACTTCCANAGGCACAAGGGGCCCAGCCAGCGCAGCTCAGTGGCTGAGCATCAACCTATGATCCAGGAGATAGGGTTTTGATTCCTGGTCAGGGCACATGCCTGGGTTTCGGGCTCGATCCCCAGTAGGGGCCATGCAGGAAGCAGCCGATCAATGATTCTCATCATTGATGTTTCTCTCTCTCTCTTCCTCTCTTTTCCTCTCTCTGAAATCAATAAAGACATATTTTTTTAAATTAATAAAAAAAAGGCACAAGGGAATTTTGGGTGGTGATGAATATGTTTATTACATTCATAGTGATGATGGTTTTGTGGGTGTAAGCATATGTCAAAACTTCTGAAAGTATACATGTTAAATATATCCAATTTATAATTTTTTTAACTTACCTTTATTGTTGAAAGTATTACAGATGTCTCCTTTTTCCCCAATGACCTCTTCTACCCTGCCCCCAACCCCTGCCCCAGGCCTTCACCACACAATTGTGTCTGTGTCCATGGGTTATGTATTTATGCATATAAATCTCTTCCCACCCACCCACCTACCCCTAACTTCCATCTGAGATTTGTCAGTCTGTTCCATGCTTCTATGTCTCTAGATCTATTTTGTTCATCAGTTTATTTTGTTCTTTAGATTCCACATATAAGTGAGATCATGTGATAGTAGTCTTTCTCTGCCTGGCTTATTTCGGTTAGTATAATATTCTCCAGGTCCATCCAATTTACTTTTTTTTTTTTAAAGAAGCTCTTTTCTTTCTGATACAAAATAAACACAATCTCAAAGACCTATGTGGGAATTTTCAGCATTCTCCATACAATGTTAAAGTCTCTAGAGGTGGAAAGTTCAGTGCTCCCTGGAAAGATTCTTAGGGGTAAGTGACCGAGCAATCACTAATCACATACATTAGTTTTTTTAAGATTCACTGATTATCACATTTGACTTTTGGGAAACTCAATCCTGAACTTTAATAAGTAAGGTAGTTTCTTTGTATTTTATTTTTTTATTGCTGCAACATATGTTGCTCTTTTTTTTTTTTTAAATGTGTTTTTATTTATTTCAGAGAGAGGAAGGGAGAGGGAAAGAGACAAAAACATCAATGACGAGAATCACTGATCGGCTGCCTCCTGCACACCCCCTACTGAGGATCGGGTCCGCAACCTGGGCATGTGCCCTGACCGGAAATCAAGCTTCGACCTCCTGGTTCATGGGTAGATAGATGCTCAACCACTACGCCACACCAGCTGGGCAGTACTTTCTTTTTAAGGTAAAAGTAAAAATGGATTTAGGTTATTTATTGGATAAGGTCAGAACAAGTAAAGAAAAGGAAGAAAAACATTTTAATATAACATTAATACAGTAGGCCTCCTTTATCCATGGTTTTGCATTCTACAGTTTCAATTACCCATGGTCAACCAAGGTCTGAAAATACTAACTGGATAATTCCAGAAATAAACAACTCATAAGTTCTAAGTAGTGTGATGAAATCTCATATTATCTTGCTCTGTCCTGCCTGGGTGAATCATACTTTGTCCCAAGTATCTATGCTGTATAAAGTATCCACCCATGGGCCACTTAGTGGCCATCTCAGGTATCATATCGACTGTTGTGGTATCACAGTACTTGTGTTAAAGTCAACCTTATTTTACTTAATAATGGCCCCAAAGTACAAGAGTAGTGATGCTGGCAATTCGAATATACCAAAGAGAAGCTGTTAAGTGCTTCCTTTCTTTAAGTGAAAAGGTATTTACGTATATGGCAAAACAAAGTATAGATACAGGGTTCGATACTACAAGGTCTGGTACTATCATGGTTTAAAGCATCCACTGAGCTTCTTGGAACTTAACCCCAGTGGATAAGGGCGGACTACAGTACACTGGAAAATATGATTCAAGAGATTCATTACTGAAGTAAAACTTACTGAAATCACACAGTCAGCCACTGGCTTCTTCAAAGCATTTTCTGAAGTCTCTTTAAGCTTAGCCAAAAGCATTCCAGTAACTTGCTCAATAGCAAAAGGTCTCTCTTCTTCTAGGTACCGCACCTAAAACCAAAAGTTGAGATTTTTACTGAGTCATTTATTCATCCAACAAATATTCTGTGAAAATCTACTCTATAACATGCTGGATATACAACAGTGAAAAAGGAAAAGTCCCTGCTCAAGGAAGTTATATTCCAAAAAGATCATTCTAGTATTATAACCTCTTAGTTCTGAAGTTTCAGTGCCTAACACATATTGTTGCAACCAAATTTTCAAGTATCTTTACCTGCTCCAGATCCTCACCTCCCACAAAAGCGATTTTTATCATTCAATTTCCTAACTAACAACAAAGAAGAAAAAGATAATCTTTCTTTTGAAAGTTATAACTCTTCCTGGGTTTAAAATGAAAGCTTTAGTCATTCAGTTTTGGGAAAAGAAAGTGAGAACATCAAGGGGAAAAAGGAAAATTTTCTCATTTTAAAACAAACAAACATGTATTACTCCAAGGTTTGTGAAGAGAATTATGAATTAAACATTAGAGCTGTATATACTACACTTAAAAATTATTATTTTTTGACCAAATAATCACTTCATTTTATACACAGGTTTAAGACTAGGTTGCATTTAATCATATATAATAAAACTTGAAAGTGCTTCTCGACCAAGAAATAGTGGAGGACCTGTACTTATTCAAGTAATCAAATCCTTTTATAATGACAACCACAAAATTTATAAGCAATACAATGTTACCTTAGAACCCATATAATGACTACATTTAATTTACTGAGGAAAAGGAAATGTCTTTTACCTCTGTATCTCCAGTGGAGTAAGTTTATTCTATAACACAAAACTCTGGAAGAGTTTTAAAGAACTTCTCTCAAGCAGCACAATGTATGTATGTGTAAAAAATATGTGTATATAATGATATAAAATTTACTTTGAAACAGCTAAAATTGATATCCATGTAATCAATTTAAAAGCAAGTTCAACACAAGTATTATATGAAATTAATAAATGTGGCAATTATCAAAATCAGGAAAATGAATCAAATACCACGGTGTTGGTCTGATTATAGGAGGCATAACAATACAGTATTCGTTTGTATAAGAATATAAATTTATATGAAATAAACATAAAAGTTATCCAAAAAATAGATAAAATGCTTAAGGAGTAGAATTCTAAAGATCTTCAATCTTCAAAAGATGAGGAAATTTAGTTCAACACAGGACTGATTGATGTTTTCAAAGCCCCTTACATGCATTCACTATGATTGCATAAAAATGATATCACTTAAAAATTAGGTTTGGCCTTTCGTAAAAAAATCTTAATCTGTTTTTCTCAAACTACTTATAAAGCATGATTTTAAATTTTTCTTTTTAAAGAATAAAAGCAAAAGAATTTAAGTTGTTTCAAATAAAACTGCTTCACAGGACATATTAACCAGAAATATCTGAATATTATTCTCTGTCTCATCTATTGCTGTCACAATCCATCCAGCTTCCTAGTCAGCAACCCTTGACCCACAAATTTCACTTAAAGTATGGCTTCACTATGTATCTCCTTGTCTTTAACCTCTCATGGTGTCTTCTTTAAATTATTTAAACAGCCTCATGTCTTATTATAAGTCATCATCCACTCTGTACACAGAACCTTCTTCTAAAATTGCAAATTTGTGCATAGCCTTAAAACATATATATAAAGTTTAAAATTAGGTATTAAAATAGTTTTGAGATATAATTTATATAGCATAAAGTTTATACTTGTGGTGTTTAAAGTACAGGGGTTTTTAGTATGTTCACAAAGTTTTGCACTGATCACCACTAACTGTAGTACATTTTCATCACCCTAAAAGAAGTCCCATACCTATTCCCAGTTACTCCCCATTCACCATTCCCCCTTCCTCTTTATACCTAGAAACCACTTATATACTTTCTGTGTCTATTGATTTGCCTGATTATGGACACCCATATAAATGGAATCATACAATACATGGTCTTTTGTATCTGGCTTCTTTCACATAGCATGTTAAGGTTCATCCATGTTGTAGTACGTATTGGTACTTCACTCCTTTTTTATGGCCAAATAATATTCTATTGTATAGGTTAAACATAGGTTTATCCACTCATCAGTTGATGGACACTTGAGTTGTTTCAACTTTGGGGCTATAATGAATAGTACTACTATGAACATTTGTGTACGAGTTCTTGTGTGCACACATGGTTCAAATGTCTTGTGTATATACCTAAGAGTGGAATTGCTGGGTCATATGGTAACACTATGTAAAAACGAGGTATTCTGCTAGCTTTTGAAAAATCAACAAAAACATGTTTTTGTTAATTATGTAACTTACTGCCTCAGGACATAGAATTAAAAATCCAGACTCCATCTCTTACTTGGAAGCAGAGTTTGCTTTAATACTTCTGTTATAAGAGTCTTCTACATTAGAGAAAACTCATACGGCAATTAAAATACTTTTGGGGCCTATTTTTCTAAGTCACATATGCTGCCTCTGCCTTTATCCCTTAAAAACAGTTCACATCTAAAAGTTCTCCCAATTAATAATCATTGTTCATTGATAATAAAAGTGTTGTTTGGATTAAAAAGATTATCTAAATTATAAACTTTTGCACTCATTAAAGCTTATTAAAAAACTGCCTGTATCTTGCCATGTATGTACTACTTCCAGAAGAAAAAAAATTACAAGTAGGCAATATTATGGTATTTGGTTTCTTTAAATATATGTTTGCATTCTGGGAGTATAAAGCTTACCTTAATTCCTGCACTTCCATTAGGCATCTTCTGCAGCTCATAGGGAAGCCTGACCCTTTCAGTTTGCACAATAGGATCATCAAATGATCGTCCATGAAGCTTTTTGAAGCCATGAATTGTATTTCTTACATTTGTGACTATCTGTTGGCAGTAAACATTTTATCAATTACTTAATGAATGCAAAATAAACACTATGCTAATACTTGAGAACCACTAACCCTCTTTATCCTACACATCCAAGTTCAGAATTACACACATTGTCATTTTTCTGGTTTCCTACTAATAGTAAAATTATAGAATGAGAACATATACATGTTAACTATTGCCCCCCCGAAATTCTCCTCCTTTCCTAGGAAAGTTAGATACAAAATTAATGTCTTCAGAAAAGAAAACTTACAACTACTGTCTGGTTTTCCTCAAAACCTCTGCTCTAGTATAGTGATTTTCAAGCAGTGTGCCACAACAATTTTTAAAACATGCAATACCTGATTATTTAGTCAGGAGCACTGACCTCTTTTCCCTTAGATTGTCAAATAAAAAATGACAACAGCCAACACAACAATAGCCATCTGGTGTAAATGCCCTGTCTTGAACCATAAATATATAGGTGATATAATAGAGTTGCATCTTATTGGTCATGTTGCATAATAAGGTTGTGTCTGACTAATTCTTGGTACCAGAAATCCTTATATACAAGTACAGGCACCTAATTTTTTAAAAAGTCACTTTGGCCCTCCGGGCATGGCTCAGCGAATTGAGCATCGACCTAGAATCCAGGAGATCTCGGTTGGATTCCTGGTCAGGGCACATGCCCGGGTTTCAGGCTCGATCCCCAGCAGGGGGTGTGTGCAGGAGGCAGCTGATCAATGACTCTCTCATCACTGATGTCCTATCTCTCTCTCCCTTACTCTCTCTGAAATCAATAAAGATATATTTTTTTTAAAAAGTCACTTTGAAGCAAAAAGGGTAGGTAATTACTATTATTATTTTTGTAAATCAATCGAAAGTATACCTATTTTTTTTGTCATTGGCAAAAAAAAAGTATATCTTTTGGTGTGCAGAATTTTAGTAATTGGTTTGTGTGTGCCATGAGTGAAAACCGCTGCTCCAGTAAATTAGTATCTTTGATTTCTCTTATTTGTTTCCACTTTCATTTTTGTTATTTAAAATGTTTTTTATTGCCCAGCTGGTGTGGCTAAGTGGTTGAGCATCAACCTATGATCCAGGAGATCTTGGTTTGATTCCCCATCATGGCACATGCCCGGGTTGCAGGCTCCATCCCCAGGAGGGGAGTGCAAGAGGCAGCCACTCAATGACTCTCATCATCGATGCTTCTCTCTCTCTCTCTCTCTCTCTCCTTTCTTCCCTCTCTGAGAAAAAAAAAA